CCAATAAAGCAACAGAGAACTGGGGACTGCCTGCAGCTCAGAGACCTGCCCGAAGGCCCATGATCCTGAAGCTTGCTTCAGATGAGGCCACAATGACCACCTGGTAGAACTTGGAGAACATGTGAACAGAACTACATACTGCTACTTCAAAGTGTATACCTTTAGGAAGCAAAAATAAAAGATCAAAAACTAAACCAATATGGCTTAATAAAACTGTAAAACAACACGTCAAGGACAAGAGAGCGGCATTTATAAAATATAAGACGGAGGGGACGGCATTGGCGTTCCTTAACTACAAAGAATGTAACAAAAAATGCAAACTAGAAATCCGGGCAGCTAAAACTGAGTGCGAAAAGCATATCGCTGCAGATAGTAAAAAGAACCCCAAAAAATAACTCCATTACAAAAACTAGAGGCCACCACCTAAAATTGGTGGAAAAAAAATTCCAGCACAAGGGGCGAAGGGGGTTCTTCACAGTAAGATCAGTTAGGGTCTGGAACTCACTGCCACAGACAGTGATTTCAGCAAAGAATGTGGAATTGTTCAAGAAACTTTTGGACGATTTCTTAAGGGACCGTAATATACAGGGGTACAGGTACTCCTAGAATGAGATCCTAATAGGTTGGACTTGATGGACTAATGTCTTTATTCAACCTCAAATACTATGTAACTATGTAAGACCGGGTGGCAGCCTTGCAAATTTGGGAATGGTCATACTGGATGACAAAAAAAAAACAGGGAATCTGTCTTTATGAAAGAAGCAGTGGCTGAGAGACTAACAGCCCAAAACACACCCAGACAAAGGGACATTTCCTTTAAGCAAACTGAAGCCGGACAAAAAGGATGGAAGAACAATATCCTTGCTGTGGTGAAAGGCAGAAAGTACCTTAGGTAAGAAGTTCTGGGCTTCAACACTACCTTGTCCCTATGCAAAACCAGAAAAGGTTCCTTACAGGATGAGGATGTTAGTTCAGACACTCGTGTCCTAGAGGTGACGGCTACAAGGAATACTACCTTGTGAATGAGTAGAGAGAGGGATGTCTCTAATGGGTTGAAACAGCTGTTTCTGAAGGGCATAGAAAGACAGATTCAGATCCCATGAAGTTACAGAGTAGCAAACAAGGGAAACTACATGGGAGACTGTCTCTGAAACAAGATAAAAGCAAAATAATTTTTTTTTTTTAAAAAGGGTCTACACCCAGCTGCAAGGAGATGATTGCCCCCCTGATAAAACTGCTCATGTGGAAGCCCATGACATGAATATCCCTTCCATGTCAGGTAACAAACTTTGCGGAAAATAGTATCCTTTCCAATTTCTATATTAGCCCTTGGAGGTAGTAGCCTTCCCAGCTTTTAGCATCATAGGACTCAGATTCAGAGATGCCCCTGCCTCTCACAACCTAGAATTCAACGGCCGTGCCATTAAAGCCACAATGATAGAATTTTGCGTTGTAGAGGTCTGGAGTGAAACTAAATGGGACTGACTCAAAGGAAGCATCAGGCCTAAACCTTTCATGTAACATTGGAGAGTCAGATGACCCCTGGACTGGACGAATCTGGGTGCTGGAAAGAAGTTTATGTGGTAAAAACACTCTGGTCTGAGCCGTGTCTAGGACTAGACCCAGGTACTCCAAACAAGGAGTCGGTTTAGGCGATGATTTCTGATGGTTCAGGATCCATCCATCCAAACTACTGTAACGTTTGGTCAGTCAAAGCCATGTTGCTCCAGAGCCAGATGTTACCTAAACAGGAGGTAATCTAAGTATCCCACAATGAGGATGCCACGAGAGTGCAATAGGTTTTATACTTGGGCAGGCACCCTGAATTCTGGGCAAACAAAAGGCCAGAGGGCCTCATTCATATGAATGTGAACAGCTGTACAGCATGCACATCTGTGCAGAAGCCGGCACCCGGGAGGGACAGGTGCCTGTATATTTCTGTGAAAAGATAAGGCTGCACACAAACCTAAACATTCATATAGGTATGGATGCATGCATGCCCATGGACATCACTGACAGGACGTGGCTGCACGCAACCCGAACCTGCACAGTCTTACAGGTATGGATGAAAACCCTTGGGCGCAGACTGTCTGCATCGAAGGGTGCATATCTTTCTTGCATAACTTTAGCAAAAACCTCAGCTGATAAGGCACAGGAACTGGCCACATCTGGCAGAGCTAAAGGACTCCAATGACGGAATAGACTCTAGGAGGGCAGCAGGATTCCAAGGCTTCAGATGGTGGCACCAACAAGAAGTGCACTATAAGCAGCCTCAGAGCAGTTAGTGGACCGTGAGCTGAGGGCACCCATTACAGTGAGACTAACTCTGCCCCCCGGGGTCTAGATTTAGACATGTTGCAACCTTGTTGCAATAGGTCAACCTAAGGTTCAGGTACAAGGCAAGACCTCAAGTACTTACAAACCCAGATAGCTGGTAGCAGGTGAGGATGGTAACGGTAGGTAGGTAGGCAGGCAGCAGGAACTGACCGATGCTCCATATGGCTCTTTGCAAGCAGGAGCAGCAGCGGGGAGAGGCTTCAACTATGTTGAATGGCAGAAAAGAAACCGTGGATCACACATGCGACACCCTTCCCAGAGGATGACAGCACTCAGTCCCTCGTTATAAAGGGCGTTAACCCCTAATGAAACTGTCTGGAAAGAGAGATTTCCTACGTACTTGTGGCAGCTCCCATTGATCAGCTCAACTGGCTTACTCACACAGTGAGTTTACAGATACAGGAATTTCAGTGGCTCTGGACCTAGAAAGCTCTCTGTAGCTCTTTACCAGAACTAAGTATGGAAAGCAATTTATGTGGAACCCGTTGTCCAAAGGCCATTTCCAGGCTTTCTTGCTATATTTGAGTATTGTAGTTATAACATCTGAAGAACCACAACAAATTATTTTGGTGGTAGCTCTTTATAAAAGTCACACAGCTCTCCTTTGTGATGCCAACCTTTCCAGATATAGTTACACATTATACCATCATACGTAAAATATTATTTATAAAAGATTGCTACCACTGCATGCTATCAATATGATCAGCTCAATGTTATAGTGATGCCTGAGAGACCTAAGCGGCCTCTCATATTTTGGTCAGTTTCCTATTAAAATACATTTGGGGCCAGCATCTCTGGTCCAAGACTCTAAAGAGCTCCTCATGTCATGCTGCTGTCTCTGTACCTCTCAAAGGCTACAGCACGCACATCAGGAGGTGCTAAACCTGTGTTTATTAGAATTTATAATTTAGATGGCTGGAAAGTTTAATAACTCAGCCACCACATTTTGCTGGAATTTATATGTTCCAAAGTGTGTTGCATAGACATACATGTTTTCATTTGGGGGGGGGGGGGGGGGGTGACGCCCGCAGGCCCTCGGCTGGTGGTATTCAGCATTGCTGTATAATCATTATACCACCCAGTTACAGTCCCCCAATCCCCCCAA